CTAAAACAATAAGCTCCATGATCTAACAACCTGTTCTGTCTTTTTCAGATGTCTCCATTGTCGGGAACAGTCCTTGATACCTAATAGATACTCAATAAATTTTTGGTTGAATGAAAGTGTTTACAAATGTATTTACTTTGTCAGAAAGTTGTCTTGTAATAGCAATGGTTAACTCCTTGATAAGATTTGCTGAACTTCCAGTATTACATCTCAAGATGAGACGGAAATAAAGCATCAGTCCCTAGTAGCACAGCATAGCAGAGTGGTAGGAATGTTGACCTTTAACATTTTTATAAAACAAGAGTGTTGAAGTTGAAACTAGTACCATTGCAAGGCACAGTACTAGTTTCATCAAGAGGAGAGAAACACCAAGAGTAAGGTAGTAGGTGAGTGGGCCCCAAGGCTAAATAAACATTCTGAATTCTGAGACTTTTCTGGATGGAAATGAGAATCTGAAACATGGGATAAAGGCTTACATTAGAAGTAGTCATCAACATATAAGTAATATTAACAACTGGGAGAGTAGATGAGCTCACTCAGTGAGACACAGCAGAGGAAGAATATAGAAACAATTATTTCAAGAACAGAGCATGATATACTTTTCATTCATTCTCTGAATGAAACTGAACTTTTCAGAGAATTAAAAGTATGGAAAGAAAGACTGAAAAAAATGCACTTGAATTTGGCATTTAGATTTAAGGCCATTAAAAATCTTAGCAAGAGCAGCTTTGATGATGACCAATAACTAGATAGCAATAGTATTAAGGTACTTGTTAGTGCAGAAAATGACTTACTTAAACTAACCAAAAATAGAGGTATTTATTGAAAAGAATATCAGAAATCCAAGGGCAGAAATTCTATTCCCAGTTCTTTAGAGTACCAGAAAACAGGAAGATACCAGGCACCAATACTTTGTCTTGCTCTTTCTCTCTGCCTATCTTTTCCATCCTACATAGTATCAGTTTCTCCTAGGGTTTCTACTTTTCTCTCTAAAAACTGTTTCATCACTTCCTGTGATTTTTGTACACATACCATAAAATTTACATCTTAACTATCTTAAAGTACACAATTCTGTGGTTTTTATTGCATCTATAGTGTTTGTACACCCATCAATCACTATCTACTTCCAGAACATTTTCATCACCCTAAAAAGGAAACCTTGAGCCAACTGAACAGTTGATCCCCCTTCCCCATTGCCCCCAGCCCCTAGCAATAATCCTTTATTTTTGTTTCTCTAGATTTTCCTTTTTTGTATATTTCATTAAAATAGTATCATGTGATATGTGATTTCTTATAACAGGCTTCTTTTCTCTTAGCCTAATGCTTCCAAAGTTTATCCATGTTGTAGCAAGTATCATTTCTTCATTCCTTTTTATAACTGAATAATAACCCATTGCATGGATATGCCACATTTTATCTAGTCATCAGTTGATGGACATTTACCTTTTGGGTATTGCAATTAGTGCTGTTATTAATATCTGTGTACATTTTTTGTTTGAACACCTGTTTTCTTTTCGAGCTAGATAATATGGAGATTCTGTTTAACTTTTTAAGAAACTGCCAAACTTTCTCCACCATGGCTGCACTATGTCACATTCCCATTAACGGTATGTGAAGATCCAGTTTCTCCACATCCTTGCCAACTGTTTTCCATTGTAGTATTATTGCTATTGCCATCTGATTGGATGTGAAGTAGAAAACCTCATGGTTTTGAGGTTTCCTAACAGCTTTGGTATTGGGCACCTTTTTATGTCCTTGTTGGCCATTTGTTTTGGGTGTTTGGGGTGTTTTTGTTTTGTTTTGTTTATTGAGACAGGGTCTGGCTATGAATTCCAGGCTGACCTCAAAAGTATCTATCTTCCAACCTCAGCCTCCAAAATGTGGGATTAGAGCCATGTACCACCATACCCTGCTTCTTATTTGCCCTTAATATATTTTCTTTGGAGAATTATCTTCAAGTCATTTGCCCATTTAGAAAAACATTGTCTTTTGGTTGTGGAATTTGAGTTCTTGGTATATTCTAGAGACTGGATCCATGTCTATGATTTGCAAATTCTCCCATTCTCTAGATTGTCTTTTCATTTTCTTGACAATGTCCTTTGATGCACAAAGGTTTTAAACACTGATGGAGTCTAGTTTATCTACTGTTTTTCTTTTGTTGCTTATGCATTTGATGTCATGTCCAACAATACATTGTCCAACTCTTAAGTGAAGATTTACTCCCATGCTTTTTTTTCTAAGAACTTGATTGTTTAGCCTTTATATTTGATAAGTTTTATATTTAAGTTTTTATTTATTTTTTATTTTGGAAGTACTGAGGTTTGAACTCAGGGCTTTGTGCTTACAAGGCAGGTACTCTTTTGCCTGAGCTACACCTCTAGCCCCTGAGTTAATTTTTGTATTTAGTGTTAGGTAGGATTCATGGATGTCTAGCTCAGCCATTTGTTGAAGAGGCATTTTTTCCCTCATTGTGTGGATTTGGCACCAGTGTTAAAAATTTATTGGCTGTAAATGTATGGGTTTATTTCTAGGCTCTCAACCCTATTCTATTGGTCTGTATATCTGTCCTTATATGTGCCCATACTGTGCAGATTACTATAGCTCTGTAGTAAGTTTTTAAATAGGTACATGTGAATCCTTTCATTTTTTTCTTTTTCTAGGTTGTTGCAGCTATTTGGGGGCCCTACAATTCCATATTAATTCAAAGATTCGTTCTTTCAATTTTTGCCAAAAAGACTTGGAATTTTGATAGGTATTGCATTGAACCTATAGGACACTTTGAATAATATTATCATTTTAATGATATTTAGAATTGCAGTCTATGAACATGATGTCTTTCCATTTGCCTAGGTCCTCTTTCATTTCTTTTAGCAATGCTTGTACTTTCCAGAGTGCAAGTCTTTCAACTTTGGCTAAATGTATTTTCAGGTGTTTAATTCTGTTTAGTGCTATTATAAGTAGAATTTTTTTCTTAATTTCCTTTTCAGATTATTCATCACTAAAATGCAGAAACAACGAATTATTCTCTCTCTCAGTTTGAGGTTTGTCACTTGGTAGTCTTTTCTATAATCCAACTTTTGTTTTTTGTTGTTTCTGTTTTTTTTTCTACTCTGTTTTGTTTTAGCTGAACTCAAAATTTTATTATTTCTTTCCCTCTGCTAATTTTGGGTCTATTTGCTTTTCTTTTCCTAACTCCTTGAGGCAGATTTTTCTGTTTTGGGTTTGTTAAATTTCTTGGATGTATAGATTTGTGTCATTTTTTTATAAATCAAATTTGGTACTTTTTGGCTGTCATTTATTCAAATATTCTTTGGCCCTTTCTCTTCTATATTTCTAGAGATCCCATTATGCATAACTTAGTATGCTTCATGGTACTTTTACCTTCTCTTCATTTTAAAAAAAAATTTATTAGGATATATTCATTATGGGGGGATATTCATAGTGACAATTCTGATTACACTTATATTGTACATTATTTACATTGTCCCCATCGTCTGTCCCTCTCAGCCCTCTCCCTACTCCATTTAAAGCAATTGCAAGAGGTTTCTTTGTTCTGTTTCATATAGCTATATGAAGTCCATCTACCACATACCATCACCTTAATCTCCTTTCTTCACCCTCCCTCCCTCCCACACACACACTGTACCTATTTTACAATCCTGGCTTTTGTTATTAATATTTACATTAATGTTCAGAGGGGTGTCTTATGTATGCCCACTGTGGGAATACTTTCCTTTGGTCCGTCCAACCTCCTCATTAGCTTTCAATACACATCCTTATATCCTCTACCTGTACATCTTATGTTATACGATATTACCAATGCTGTATCATTCTCTTTTCCTTTCCCTCTTTTCCCGAGTTCCATAGAGTAGTTCCATTGTTACAAATATGTTCTACATATGAGTTTGTATATGATCATGATTGTTTTTGTGTATATGTTTATCTTTGTATCTATCTTTCATGTATGAGAGAAAACATATGTCTTGTGTTTCTAATCCTGGCTAATTTCACTTAGCATGTTGTCCTCCAGTTGAACCCATTTACCTTCAAACCACATGTCATTATTTCTTATGGCTAAGTAATACTCCATTGTGTATATATTCCACAATTTCTTGATCCATTCATCAGTTGTAGGGTATCTGGGTTGTTTCCAAAGCTTGGCTACAGTGAATAATGCTGGGATGAATACTGGGGTACAGATGTCTGTACTGTATGGTGTCTTACATTCCTTTGGGTAGATGCCCAGGAGTGATATCACTGGATCATATGGCAATTCTATCTCTAGTTTTTTGAGAAATCTCCATATTGCTTTCCATAGTTGTTGTACTAGTTTGCATTCACACCAGCAATGTATTAGGGTTCCTATTTTGCCACATCCTCACCAGAATTTGTTTTTGGTTTTTTGCTTCTTCTTTTTTCTTTCTTCTCCAACTAAATAACTTCACCTGGCCAATCTATGGACTAACTATACTCCCTTAGTGATCATCTCTGGAGCAGCCATCATAGCATGGGCTGAAGAGCAAAAGAAGTAATGAATCAGATAGTATAGAAGGTAGAGACTTAAGGCCCAGGGGCTATACGTAATTTGTAGTGCTTAGAAGGTAATGCACGTGGGCAGGCAATACTCATCCACTCTGCTGGAAGTGCATTGAGGAATAAGTGAGCAATGAGGGCACAAAGTATAATGAGCCACTCTTTAAAAAAAAAAAGAAACAGATAAAAAGACACAAGATTGTGGAAGACAGCTAAGTAAAAAATGTGGGATATTCCTATCTAGACTATTCCTATAGAGACAAATAAGAGAGAAAAGAACAGGGGAGCCAGGTTTTATAGCATATGGAGCTAAGATTCAGAGCATATTAGAGGTTTGAGTATACTTGAAGATGTGATCTCAAATCCTTTGAAACTAGAAGAAGCAATGCATTTTTGCATTTTCATGATGCTGCAAAGGTATTTATCATTATTATTATAATCATTATTAATCTTCTTTCTTGTTACAGGTCCTGAAGCTGTGCCTCCTTCTCTTCTCAAAGTAGTGATGAAACCCATAGCAACTGTTGGCGAAAACTACCAGTATCCTCCTGCAAACTGGGCCGCACTCCTCTCTCCACTTATGAGACTAAATTTTGGTAAGTACCGAGTGTTTTTAAGTCTGAAGACTTTGCTTTTATTATTTACCTAAATAGAAAAACAGATTCTATGTCACAACTGGTAGTGACTGGTAGACTTGTGGATCTAGATGTTTGTCAACTTGGATGGAATGTCTGAGTTACTTTCACTGAGTCATTGAATCATTTCCATTGAATGAGGAGAAAGAGGTCTATAGACAGGTCAGATACAGTTATGAAAAACAACACTTTTCTGAGGTATGTATATCATTGGGTGTAGTGCAGGCTGGTTGGTGGTTATCAAACTGCACTTCCAGAGTCTTAGGTTTCAAGGAAGCACTTTTTAAGGTGATGCATTAGTTTTCTTTTGCTACTGTAGCAAATTACCACACACTTAGTGGCTCAAAACAACCCAAAATTTATTGTCTTACAGTTATATGGATCAGAAGGCCAACATGGTGTTCAGACTAAGAGCAAGGTACTAGGAGAAGAGAATTTCTTTCTAGAAACACTGGGAGAGAATCCATTTCTTTCCCTTTGCCAGTTTCAAGAGGCTGCTTATATCTTTGATATGTGACCTTCTTTCTACATATTCAAAACAAGCAATGGAGGGCTCAGGACTTCTCACACAAGTGCATGTTTCCAAACTTCTGTGACTATTGGGCCTATTTAAATAATTCAGGATAGTCTCCCAACTCAAGGTCCTTAAACTTAATCCCATCTGCAAAGGTCCTTTGACATGTAACGTAATATATATTCACAGGTTCCAGGGATTGGGATGTGGACATTATTGGAGGCCATTATTCTGCCTACCAGAGAGTCTTTGTGGTGAGAGACAAAGGAATGCCCATTTCTACACTTCACTTCATCCACAGCATCCTCTTTTATACAGAATGGGATTACTACATATATTTATAATTTCATATGCTTGACTCATGCTTCAAGGAGGGATGAGAGAGAAGAGAACATGTAAGGCAGTATATTTGCCATCACTGCTCTATCACTTACAATACAATGCTTACTTATACATAATATACAGAATAACTTGTATACTGTAATTTATATGTAATTTGTGATAGTTAGGACTGGAATGTGGCTTAGTGGTAGACCACTTGCCTAGTATGTGTAAGACCCTGTGCTTAATTCCAAGCACCATAAAAAAAGATAAAGATGACTTTGACTGTACACAGCTTTTTGCTTAAATGTTTGCATTTGAACCTAATCCCTGTATCAAAATACGATGTCAGCATGTTGAGTTTCCAGGGATTTCATTTGAAAAATATGTTCCTCTGTCCCTCTCATACTTCTATATGTGGCAATTGAAATACTTGTGTTTTAGTTAAGTCTTCAGATAAAAAGGAGAAAAGGTCTGGTTGGAAGAATTAGAGTACTGTAAAGACCTGATCACTACACAGCATGCTAGATAGAATGTGCTGACCATGAGGTAGAGAGGAGGGAAAAACTGGGACCAAGAGATTTTTAGCTAGAATGTTTTCATATTTTTGATAGTGCTAGAGTGGTTATGTTTCTCTGACTATCATAAGAGAGATTAAACTTGCTAGTTCAAGGCCCTTGCCAGTTTCAACACTTCAGACTTGGACACCACTGGAGACATCCTTTGCCTTATCACTCACAGGGCCTCTTGAAATACCTTTTGATTTATTAATGTTCTGTTACCTGCAGAAATTACCCAAGCAGGTGCTTTGATTTGAACATTAAAGCCTGAAAATGAACCAGAGGAGCAACAGCATTGCAGAGATTCTTTTCCTTTTTTTCTCTTTCAGGTGAAGAGACACAGCAACTGTGCCTGGAAATTATGGTGACGCAAGCACAGTCATCACAGAATGCAGCTGCCCTGCTGGGCTTATGGGTGATGCCACCACTTGTCCACAGTCTCAGTGTATGTAGTAATTAAGGGTGTTGAGCAGCAGGAAGATAAGTTTCTTTGGGGGAAGATTAACATGCATTTGGATTGTGTTCTCCATGTAAAGAGCGGGGACTTGATAGTAGCTGGCCAGCAGATTGGAATGCTGTTACCATTCACTTTAACTACCATTTATTACAAAGGTGACAAAATGGTGATCAAAGGTATTCAAATTTCTTTGTCAAGACCATACAACTAGAAATTCATGGAGTTATTTGAACCTAAATTTATTTGATTATATTGTATACATAGATATTTCAGTGGGTATTAAGAGAAAGGCAAATCTACATGCACTGGACTCATCTATATATTATCCCTCCCTTTCCCAGAGGGGCAGCAGTTAAGTTGAGTGGTGAAAGCTTGATATGATTTGGATACGCACCAAGTCAGAAGCACTAGGCAGGTAGGTGGGAGAGTGCAGGCATAGGAGGTGTAACACCTCTGCTACAGTGTTGAGCTTGAACAAGTGCTGAGGAGGAAGTGATTCAGCCTGGTATTTGTGACAAAGTATACAGGTTAGCACTTTCCAGGTATATACACCAAAGGTAGAGAAGAAGAGTGGAATAAAAGTATTTAAAGATGTTAGGGCTGGGACATAGCTCAAATGGTAGAGTGTCTACCCAGCAAGCACAAGGCCCAATACTGTCCAAAAGATGTGAAATTAGTAAAAGATGCATAATTTTGAGTACATTTTAAGCTGGAACAGAAAAATGCAATTCACAACTCCTTAGAGGCTTATCAGTTGATGATAAGAAAATTATCTTCATCTTTGAATCCTCTGTAATCTGGCTTTAATTTTTTAAAGTAGTGCAAAAGCCATTTTATTTCCTCAGTGCCTTGGCTTTTGTTCCTACTCTGCATTGTTTTAGTGTTTTGAGTCTAATGCTCTTTAGTTGAAGATATGTATTATTGAGGCCTATATCCTCTCTGTTCACTACTGTCATTACCCCACCTGTATACTATAAGTGACTTCTGCTAGCACCACCTGCTGAGTACTTGCTATGTACTTGGTACCTGTTGACACTCAATGAGTACTTAACTTACAGATATCAGATTTAATCTCTACAATTCTGGAAGGCCATGTTTTTAAACAGCTTTATTGAGTTATAATTTACATACTGTGAAATGACCATTTTAAGTATAAACTTTAGTGAATTTTAGTACATTTATAAGTTTTTAGTCATTGTCAAGAACATTTCCATTCAGTCAACACAAGTTCCATTGGGTTTATTTTTAGTCGGTCTATTCCCAATCTTAGACCCAGACCACACCAAACTACCGTCTATAATTTTGCCTGTGTAACATAACTATTAATTTAAATTTCATATAAATTTTATAAATTCTCTAGAATCATAATAAGAGCTCTTTTGTGTCTCCCTTATTTTAATTCTGAGAAATACATTTTGTTGGTTCTATCCTATAGATGGATAAACTGAGTCAAGTAGGAAGTCAAACAAAGTTAGCATCCTAATAAATGGAAGGGCAATATCTGGCTGACTGCAAAACTATTGAGCTCTTGCTTCTTTTTGCATTAGGTATATTTCTAACAACCTCCTTTGTTGACCTCAGAAATTTTCCTACATTTTAGTATCCTTCCATTTCTTTTTTTGACCTGGGTAGCTTTTTGCATCTGACTTTAGTTACAGAGGCCTTTTTTTTTTTCAGCCTTTGTTAAAAATGTTTTAAAACTTATTTTCTTATAAAGTTGTCTGAGATAGCATATTCTGTTAAATGAACTCTTTAGAAAACTTATTCCAACTATAATGACCTTTTTGGAAAGTTACTGATATTATTTTTTTAGTCTACTTCTTTTACAGTTGCTGCCCCTTTAGTAACACATTGTTTCTAACAAGTTTTGAAGCTTACCCTCTTAAAGTCTATGTCATGTAACAGAGCTAGTAGTAACTATGCCCCTTCTTGGTTCTTGTGAACTCTAAGATGCTCTGCATGACCCCATCATGTCAATTCTCCTTATTTTTCCCTCCATTCTTATTTTTCTTCAGAAGAAGAACTAATAATATCAAATGCTCTGTTTGATTTCTAGAAGATGAGTCTTTTGTCTTTAAGAACTTTTCTTGCTGGAGAACGTGGCTTTTTAAAACAGAATAGTAATTCTTATGTACTTTTAGAAGTAGCATTTTGTTTCCCTCTCTGAAAAAATCCAACCTTTAAACTGAATAGTTCACAGATAGATTGGCAGACACCACATAGACACGAGTCATCATGGTTCCGAAGTAGCTACAACAGCCGAAACTCCATGCATTGGTGACCTACTGAACAACACTTTGGGAACATGAGGGAAAAATAAACTTTCATCTCTCTGCCTACCCTCAAACTCCATGATGACCTAGAAGTTCTGAGAACTACAAACCAAACTTACCTGTTTACATCTGACCTCTTCTGTTTAACTTCCAGCTGAATATCAAGAAATACCTCCTGGTATCTGTGCCTCTGTGGATAAAACACGTCTCTGATGAACAGATCCAGGGGTTTGTTGAAAACCTAATGGTGGCAGTTTTTAAAGCAGCTTCTCCACTTTGTAACCCTGAATTATGCCCAAGTGCCTTACAGGGTCTGAGCCAGGCCATGAAACTGCCCAGCCCCACCCATCACCTCTGGAGTCTTCTCTGTGAAGCTACTGGGAAAATTTTTGACCTTCTGCCAAATAAGATTCGGGTAAGGAACAAAAATATTTACATTCCTGACAATTTATGTTTAGGCTTCTTTAAAGTCTTTTTGGCAAAGCAGGGAGGTGTATGTTTTAAGAATGTGGGTGGGAAGGCTAGCAAGAAATAACCACATTCTTCACTAGGAGTGTGTTTGCTTCCAAGATCTAAATTGAGGTTGAAGATTTAGAACCAAAGTTTTGAGCAAGCTCAGAAGTAGATTAACCAGTGCTGCACTGGGAAATTTGCTGTTAGGGTTTTTTGCCAGATGCCTGCAGAAGATGTGCAGGCTCAGAAATCCTTACTCTTTACACCTGGAGTGTTCTTGGGCATATTGTACAATATGCTATCTATTTCAAATGGCTTAATATTAGCCCTTCCCTTTTCCCAGCAGATCTCTGCATTGGATTTTTACAAAGAGGTTAAAAATCTGATTAAGACAATGGAACTCAGATAGGAAAAAAAAGTACAGCCAAGCAAATACATAAAATAATAAGAAAAATGTTCTTTCAATGATAAAAATTGAGCATATGTTTTGGTTTGGTTAAAACTAAAATTTCATCAGCTGCTGTTCTTGAGGATAAACAAGTCTAATTAATTGTCAGAACATTAAGAATAGACTTGTTATTCTTACCTTGAGTTGTATTTGACATGCTTGGAATTTTTCTTTACCAGAGAAATGATCTAGAGCTATATATTAGTATAGCAAAATGCCTCTCGGAAATGACAGATGATGATGCCGCTCGGCTTTCCCCGATTACAAAGGTAATAACATATCTGTATTTTTTCATTATTGAGACAAAAATTACAGTTGAAGAACTGATTACAGTGTCCTTTTGGTTGAAGCTTGTTTTGCTTTATTGGTTAACTCACTGGTTAATTTCAGGAAGCCCTCTTTCTCTTTCACTGTGAGGTCTGCTAGCCAGCTTACTAGTGTGATTGGTGCTTACTACATGTTGTATAGATGGATGAACAATTTTAACCCAACTTCTTCCACTTTGTCAAGAACATTTTTGCGTCACCTGTGGGCAAAAATAAGTGCAGGGCAATCGCTTTAGGCCATGTACAAAGAATGGGATATTCTAACATAAGAACTTTCTAGTTCATAAAAGGCATATATAAGTAGTTCTGGTCTTATATTTGTTTCTTGCACCTTATTTTGTGTTTTGGAATGCAGAAGGGTAGGTGATTGAACAACAAGTACCTTCCCCATACTCCAATGGTGAATTAGCAAAAAGTAATACGTCAATACAGTTGCCACATTCAGCAAATAAAATACAAAATACCCTGTTAAATTTGAGTTGCAGATAAGTAATGAATATTTTTTAGCATAAGTACATACCATCTGGCATACTTATTTGAATGTAAACTTGCATACAGCCAATACTATAACCCTCTCATTACCAATAGCTGGTGGATATCTCATTTATTTCACTTTATGGCAGGTTTTCCTCTTCAGTTGTATCCTTGAATTTCTGTGTCATATAGTAGTGGTTCTCAAAGTGTGGTCCTTGGACCAGTGGCATCAGCATTTCCCTGGTAACTGACTAAAAATAGAAATTCTCAAATCCCACTCCAGACCATGATGCCCAGGAGTTTCTTTTAATAGTCTTTCAGGCAATTCTGTATGTCCTAAGGTTGAGAGTCACTGTTACAGAATATTTGGAATGTCAGCATTTGGAAGATTAGCTTGTTTTAAACAAAGAAAAGCAGCAGAGACAAGTAGTAAGAGGATAGACTGGAGTCTTACTGGTCAGGTGAGTGGCCTACAATTAACTAACAATGTGACCTTGGTGAAGTTTTATAACCTCTTTCTGCCTTAGTTTCTCCATCTGTAAAATACCTCTTAGGGTTGTTTTGAGAGTTAAGTGACTTATTCCATGTTAAGTAATCAGAATAGTGCCTTGCCCAAGGCACAGGCTCAGTAATTATTAATGTAATTTTTGCATTCCTGTAATTAATTATATTTTATTATTACACTTATGTAATGTTGTGGGAAACAAGGCATATAATTTACTCTGTGGTACCTAGAGCTAAATGTCACTGTGCTATTTACTTGGGTTATTCAGAAATTTGTCACAGGAACATAGTAAACAGTATTCTGATGGCCCCAAAGAGTTAGTCTTCTCCACTAAGTTAGAGTTTTCTATTCATTTTTGGAAAGAATAGAGGGAAGAGTAAAGAAGTGGTAAAGAACACAGACTCCCTGAGTTCCAGTTCTTACTCTTTCACCTGTAGCTGTATGACCCTAAGCAAGTTACTTACCTCTGTACTTCAGTTTCTTCATCTATCTAGGAACAATAATATAAATCTACTGCAGAGGATTGGCATGTGAATTCAATGGTTAATATAGAAGTTCTCAAATGTTTTGGTCTCAGAAACATACTGGTTTCTTAAAAATTATTGGCGACCCCCAAAGAGCTTTTACTTATGGATTATATCTGTGGATAATTACCTTAATAGGGGTTAAAACACAGAAAAAAATTAAATATTTACTTAAAAATAATAACCCCATTACATTTCAACACAAGAATTAAAAATATTTTATAAACACACATAAAATAGTAGGAAAAGTAACATTGTTTAATATTTTTGCAAACCTCTTTAATGTCTAGCTCATAAGGCAGCTGGATTCTCATGGCTGCTTCTTCATTCATTCTGGTGTGATGTTGTTTTGGTGAAGTACGTGAAGAAATTCCAATCTCAAACAGTAGTTGGAAAGAACAGTGTGTTTTCACTGTTCAGTCTTTTCAGATAATTACAGATATTTTTCTTTGCTATTGAACCAAAGTCAGCAACTAGTAGTTTCTTAAAGGCTAGCTGTAATGTGTACTCCAAAAACACATTAGTGAAATTCACATACTGTTAGGTTAAAATCCATTGGATGGTTTTGTACTTCAAGTTTTTTTCCAGTGCATGATTTTCTCATATCACACATTAATAATTTAGAAAATGTTGGATCACTGAGTTTTGATCTTCCAAATGCAGATACATTTTATCATACAATATCAAATCATTGTATTTGTTATTATCCCCAGCAAACTCATCAGAAAAGCATTTTACATATTGGAAAACTGCCAAGCTCACAGTAACAGAAAACAAGTTTTCTTTCTTTTTTTCTTTTTTTTTTTTTTGAGACAACAAGTTTTCTAAAAATCTCATTTTTATTAGAAAGCTCAGATTTTATCAACAGATATTGACAGGTATTTTCCTGGAATTGATAAGCTCATTTTCTTCAATTTTTAATAAAGTAATCTATCAAACAGACTATTTAAATAACAATAATTTGTCTATTATTCTTCTCTGTAAAGTAGTATTCCATAAGAAGAGTAGCCATTTAGCTCCCAACTCAATCTTGCAAGTGTTTTTCCTTGAGACCACCATTATACTTAGGAGTATAGCAAAAGTCCCTTATATGTATTTCTCATTTTGTAAAACAGAATATTAAGAAGGTTTATACTCAAAGGACAAGGTTTAATAAAACTAATGTTTATTGTTTACAAGGATATTTTAAGTGAACTGGCTTTAAAAAAAAAACTTGTAAGTGGCAGTGAATAATAGAATGAATACCAGTGTAGCTTGATAGTCATAAAAAAAGTTTGACCTTGTAGAACCTCTCACAGGGTTTTGTAATCCCTAGAGGTCTATGTACCACATTTTGAAAACTGCTGAATGTTAAGTGCTTAGAATGGTGTTTGACACATGATAAATACTAGATTTGCTATTACCATCTTATTATTTGCTTACCTGTTAACCTCTGAACACATTCATGGTTTTTAAGATGAAACAGGAGGTGACATTACAACCCTCTATTGTATATGCATTTTAATATAGCACACAGGCAGATAGGTCACATGCTTCAGGAAATGAACAGTTTTAGCATGTTCTGTTTTGCCCTTGCCCTGAGGTTCTATAGCCACTTCAGTTAACTTAATAATGGCTGAATAATTTGCTTTTTTGCAGAATAACATGGAAAAGGCTGCCTTTGTCAAGCTGTACTTAGTCTCTCAAGGACGGTTCCCCTTGATGAGCCTGACTGATATGCTCAGTGCTGCTGTGCAGCACCATGAGAAAGAAACACTGGCCTGGATGATTCTGCACAGCTTATACCAGGCACGGATTGTGAGCCATGCCAATACAGGTAAGGCCAGTTGGGGCAAACGTTGAGGGCAGAACCAGATCAGCCTGCTCTTCCTTTTAAGTTGCACTTGTCTTCTCAGCTTGAAAGCTATTTTAGTGCTTCCTGACACAGAGTAGGCCTTCTTACCCCAAATAAGAAGTTCCTTGGACAGAAATGTGCAGTTAAAGCTTACAACATCCACTTCTTGAATATGAGAATAAATTTTTGAAGGTGTTTTGTGTTGTATTTGCCCCTCCAGACCTCAAGGATACAAACAGTGAACCAGGTTGCTTCTATTTAACTTCAGTTTCGTAATCACACAAGATACAGATTGGTTCCCCCTGATGATTTCATGAAAACAGCTTTTTGTGTGTGTTGGGGGGGGTCCTTAATAAACAGCCAAAAAGGAAAACAAACATCAAAATTAAATAGTTTTCCTGTAGAAGAACTTCTCAGTTGAAAATACTGAAGTCTGGCCATACCAATTACATTCATTCTCAAGCCTGAAGCTCTGCTAATGAATCACAAGGTACATTTAGGCCATTTTAGGCATTGTGCTTTAATAACCACCAGAAAACAGGGCATCCCCATGGCTCCTTTGATATTTTTAGTCGTGTGCTTATCATTGCTCAACACTGCATTCAGATTCTGAATGGCACCTGGCTTAAGTGGTCAAGCGTGGCTGGGTAGTCCTTGTAATCATAGGCAACTTATATATGTTTCTGTGCCCGTGTCCTCCATCTATCTATTGTACTTTATGACTTTGAGGAAAAATTGACACACATCATTGTAATACTTTGCAAAACTGTATTAGAAAATTTGATTCATCCTTCTCTTTAGCAATTAAGGCGATTTTCTCTTATCTGCTTTAGTGCCTGGGTGCTGAAAAAATGAACCTGTGGTGAGAAATTGAATTTTTATTTTGTTTCATTCTAAACCAAAAATGTGTTTATCAAGAAGAAATCTATTAGGTACTTCCAATTAAGCATGAAGATACTTGCAATAAGCTGAAATAATTTGATGTTGCCTTTGGTTCTGTTTGCAACTCTCAAATGTAATTCTCATTTTCCTCTTAGTCACTAAATACTGAAAACCTTCCTAAGTTTTTACTGTGTTGGGAGTCCTCATTTCTTAAAAAAAATTTTTCAAAGGATAAAATCAATATTTATGATGATGTTTGTTTTCCAGGTGGTTTTTATTTTTCTTTTTAAGTCTTTGGGATAGGCTTCCTCTGTTATTTTAGCATAAATTGGAAACATAGAAGTAAAGGACTATAAAAGTAACTAATTATCCAGGATTCAACATTACTGGCTAGTTGGCATGCCAGATTTTTCCTAGTGTGTTTAATATTGAGAAAGAAATGCCAATAAATGCATTGTATCACTAGTGGGCAGGGAGGTTTGAAAAATAGATTGTTTTTTTAAATAAAGATCATGATATGGTTATCAGTTGTGAACAGTATCGACTCTCACAGGCAATCACAAGTCTCAGACGTTGAAGGAGAACAGCAGACTACTTAATGGGATCCTCACCAGGTGTCCTGCTTTACTTATGATGCTTATTACTGGTCTACTTTAATTTCAAAGTAAGAAGACATCCTTTTTATTTCAGGGGTGCTGAAGAGAATGGAGTGGCTCTTGGAACTGATGGGTTATATCAGAAATATTGCTTACCAGTCAACATCTGTTCAGAACATGGCTGTTGATGAGGTATAATCTTAGAGGAGTCTTGTATAGCTTTCTTAAAACATAGTACTTCTAGTTACTCTCCCAAAAGAAGAATGTGTTGCCATGTGTTAGTCAGCTTTCCATTGCTGTGACAAATTCCTGAGGCAATCAGCTTACAAAGTAAAAAAGATTATTTTGGCTCACAGTTTTGGAGGTTCCAGTCCATGATCAGGGGACTCATTAGTTGGGCCTGCAGTGAAGCAGCATATCACAGAAGTGTGTTTTGGAGCAAAGCTGCTCACCTCATTGCCAGGTAACAAAAGAGACAGGTCTCACAGTCCCCTTCAAGGGCACCTCCAACCAATAACCCAGGCTCCACCTCCTAAAGGTTCCACAGTCTCCCCTTAGTTCCACCCTGGGAACTACTTCTGTAACACTAGAGCCTTTTGGGGGACATTCAAAGTCCAAACAATAGCACACTACTTGCAGCTTTTCTTTCCCTCCCTCCTTTGATTTTTGAAAGACTCTGGTAACAACTCCCCATTGCCATAAGGAAACCATATTCATACCATGTTCCTGAAGACACTCAGGATTATTCTTTGAGAAATATTTTTAACAAAATATTTTTTAAAATATGATAAGCATATTTTAAAAAATAGGAACACAAACTGGTGTGGGGGTGGGGGAAGAGGTCCTGTATCACATAACATGTCTGGGAGTACCAGACTCTGGCCTTTTCTTTGGCCCATATGTGACTAAAAATGCCTAATGTGAAGAGATTCCTAAAATGTATGCAAATTATCTTTATGTGTGCCAATATTTCCATGTGTGCATGGACTAGAGGGGAATACTCATCACACCTGTAAATATGACTATGACCCCAAAAGTAAGCACCTCTGCTATTGGGTGAGTTTAACAAGAAAAAGTTAATAAAATGAAAATAGCTCTTTCCTATGCATTTTTTAATGGAAGAATTTTCTCTGTAGGCAAAGTTCACGGGTGGATAGAATTTGCATAATCTGGGGTGTTCTTTGAAATTCTGCCCAATTTTTCTGAAAAGTTGCCTTTTTGGATTTTTGAAAGTTCAGTTAGGAAATGAGGAATTTTAAGAGACTGAGGTATTTTTAAGCTTTTTTTTTTTTGAAGTAGCATATATCTGTCAGCTTTTTTCTTTTGACTCCCTAAGTTTTTATTAACTTTGTTTTTTTACAAAAATCTTTTTTTTTTTTTTTTAGATCTCATTTTAGTTAGCTTTATTAATGTACAATAAAGTTAAATACAGTAAAAGTCACTGCTTTGTTTTGTTTTAAAGAAATGAGGTCCCACTATGTTGCCCAGGCTGGTCTTGAACTCTTTTTTTTTTTTTTTTTCATTTTTCTTTTATTATTCATATGTGCATACAAGGCTTGGTTCATTTCTCCCCCCTGCCCCCACCCCCTCCCTTACCACCCACTCCACCCCCTCCCACTCCCCCCCTCAATACCCCGCAGAAACTATTTTGCCCTTATCTCTAATTTTGTTGTAGAGAGAGTATAAGCAATAATAGGAAGGAACAAGGGGTTTTGCTGGTTGAGATAAGGATAGCTATACAGGGCATTGACTCACATTGATTTCCTGTGCGTGGGTGTTACCTTCTAGGTTAATTCTTTTTGATCTAACCTTTTCTCTAGTTCCTGGTCCCCTTTTCCTATTGGCCTCAGTTGCTTTAAGGTATCTGCTTTAGTTTCTCTGCATTAAGGGCAACAAATGCTAGCTAGTTTTTTAGGTGTCTTACCTATCCTCACCCCTCCCTTGTGTGCTCTCGCTTTTATCCTGTGCTCATAGTCCAATCCCCTTGTTGTGTTTGCCCTTGATCTAATGTCCACATATGAGGGAGAACATACGATTTTTGGTCTTTTGAGCCAGGCTAACCTCACTCAGAATGATGTTCTCCAATTCCATCCATTTACCAGCGAATGATAACATTTCGTTCTTCTTCATGGCTGCATAAAATTCCATTGTGTATAGATACCACATTTTCTTAATCTTAAAACCCTTAAAAGGATAAAAATTAGCAGAAAGAATTATAATTTTAGTCACAGTAATTCAGCAACTCAGAGATGCCCCTACTGCCAATGTCTTTACAGTTATTGAGATTATTGTAAAATCTGAATGGATGGATAGCAAACAGATTTTTTTAAGGTGCATGAAGAGAGATTCCTTGTTGTTCAGAAATAAAATCGCATGATTCGTATTTTTAAAAATTAGTTTGGACTACATCACAATACATAGCTTTCTTAATTTCTCAACTCTTTGAAAACACCAAAAACAGGAGTGTTGGATAGTGATATCATTGGGAATAAATTGTTTCTCCTAAAATGTTAGAGCAATAATAATAATGAAACTACTGGGCCTTCTATCCTCACATAAAGCTACTTTTAAAACCTTCTAACACCCAGAAATGTTTCTACATTGAGCATGGGAATTGAGTTTGCTACTCAGTCCAGTTCCTCCTTTGGGGTAGGGGTGCAGGAGGAGGAGAAGTAGGGAAAGGGAAAGATGGCATTGCACCATAATGGGGGCTGTGATGGGAATATAAGTTACTTTGAATTTCTAAAACATAAGACTGAAAATTGCTTCTGTTTCCACTGCAGGCTTTGGATTTCTTGTTACTGATATTTGCAGCTGCAGTGGTAGCTTGGGCAGACCACGAGTCTCCACTCTTCCTTGGCCTTAGTGCCAGCTGGTTGCCATGGCATCAGGAGAATGGCCTGGCTGGGCCAGCATCAAACTTCCTTGGCAGAAGTCCAATGCATAGGGTCACTCTGCAGGGGACTCTCACTCTCCTTCCCAGGAGCATGCTGCTGCTGCTGCAGAAAGAGCCATGGAAGGAACAGACCCAGAAGGTGAGGCTGGCAGCCACCGGTGAGGCAGGGCAGGCAGGCTTTTGTCTCCACAGTTTGTAGTGTAGAATTGAGGTGGGAGTTCAGTGAAACTTGAATCACAACACAGGCTTTCATAAGCAGCCCCGGATCTTAGCCAGTTGCAAAGCCTCAGAGAGGAGGCAGCTCAGAGTCAAGGTAACTGCTGATTAGGAACAACTTGCTTATAGTTGGGGTTGGGGTGGAGAGAAGAGCCCATATCTACATTCACTTATTGAAAGCACAGGTGCTCTTGATCCTTAGGAAAAAAGGTTCAGTAAGTTTCAGGTGAGAATCCCAAGGTGAGGACAGGCAGGAGGGCAAATTCAAGATTTAAGAAGGTATAAAGTGTGGGTTAAGTGGTGAGGAGCAAGTTGGGGAAGATCAAACACTGCCTGGGCTGGCTAAGGAGATTCTTCCCCAGGGGAATTGTGGGTCTGGACCTCTGTTGTCTTTCAGGATCATTAAGATTCCCCCTAGCTCATACCATTCCACAGATTTGCTGCAGATACTAGTCATGCTTCTGGTCTGCCATAGATGCCAAATGGAATTTTGTTAAGGTCTAATATCATCAACCCTTGCTCTGAGCAAAGACCAGTTTGCAGGAAGCACCTTTTGATTTTTATTACTAAAAAAACTAAGTAAAGCTAGTAGTCCCCAGGCTACTAGCAGAATATGTGAAAATACTGTACTCCCTGTTCTTATTCCGCCATCTTTAATATAGTTTGTTGGAAGATTCTTTTTGAATCCCATTTAATCAAAACTGGATTTTTATTAGGCTCAAAACGTAAAACTAACTTTTTGTTGCTTATTCTTCAAATCTGAACACTAATCTTTAAAAACATTTCTGAGCTAAAAACCCACAATTTAGCTATGAGTAATTCCATTGAGTCTGTCAGCTAAAATGTCTTTTTCCCCTCAAATCTGATAAGCGTTAGTATTGCTGCCCCAAGTTTTTCATTTTATGTTCAACTTTTAATTAAAATAAATTTACATGTGGTCTTCCATTTTGTTATTTCTGGACTGGAACACTGTGTTCACTCTGGACTACAGTGTAGACATCTTGCATTGATTATGTATTTGAAGTGCTTGATTTATTTACTTACTAGCAGGATATTATAAAACAAAATTGAAAAAGGAAAGAAACAAAGAAAAAACTTAATTAAGGCAGGAAATTAGTAATACTTTCTTTCTCTCGCTCTTCTACTCTTTCTTCAATTCAGCTTCTCATATCTGAAGTTGAAATGCCTTGTACTTGATTGGTAACTTTCAGTCATCAATAAAATTACCCTGTGTCTAATTCAAAAACACTTGGACTCCATCCTGGGAAATCATTCAAACTCATGAGTATTATGAGTTTTTACCTTATTTGTAGGATGTATGTACAGTTAACACACTTGGCTTTGCCTAAATTATTTTATGTCTTTTCTCTTGCTTTTCAACTTCTTTTCGAATTCATTTGGGCAGGAACTGTTCTCATTTGTGTTCTCAGAAACACATTTCATCTCAGAAACAGGCTTACATCTGGTGGGTTCCCTACTTGCTGCCTAGCCAAGAAACGTAGGCCAAAATTCATATGGAACCATTGGGAGGCAGCATGATGCAAAGAAAGTGCATTGGGATTTGCACCTGGGTATAGCTGGGTTCAAATCTTGGCTCTGCTATTCCCTGGAAGTAGACTTCAGCCACTTTGGGCCTCTCAAAGTGATTATACAAAATGTTCATGGCACACAGAAGATACACTCTGGGCACATGTCTGCCTCATTCTTGAAACCTATACCAGGCCTCAAGATATTTAGTAGGTAGAGTGGGTTTGTGATGTCTTTTGACTAAATGAGAGCTGTGTTCATATCTTATGCTTGGTCTCTGTCTCATTTCCACTCCCCCAGCCCAGTTAGGAATTGCCTAAAGACTATTGCACTTAACACTCGCTTATGCAGGCTTAATGGATTGATTTCATGCTGATAGTAGGGTTTTCTTCAATGATACTTTTTTTTTTTAACTCTAGTTCATTGACTGGCTATTCAGCATCATGGAAAGTCCTAAAGAAGCCCTCTCAGCAAAGTCCAAGGACATTTTTAAAGGTATTACTTCATGCTTTTGCATGTGATGCAGAACAGCATACTTACGCATATTGATTTCTGAAAGACCTCCTCTTGAAGAGCAGTGGCATTTTGAGCCAGAAATTGGGTTTAAAAGAGTTCTGATACCTTTAAGTTTAATTTTTAAATTAAACTTTAAGTTTTTGGTTTTTAAATGTTTTGTAATAATGGTAAATAATGATTTTAATTAAAATTTGCAAAAATTTAGAAAAGTAAAAGAGCAGCAAACAGAAATCTGGAATCCCATTTCCCAAAGACAAAATTGGTAAATTTCCGTAAGAACTTTGGCTCCCTGTGTCTGAATACTTTTTAACATATTTATAATCATATACATGAAAAAATATACATAGATCATTTAAAAACTGCCTCTTTAATTTTAAAAGTATTTTTAAAGCATTTAAACCTGTTCTTATACTGGCTTCATAAGTAGTATTAATGGCTACATAGTATTTTGACAAGGGAACTAGGCATTTCCCATACCATCAGGCATGTAGAATGCTTTCATGTGTTTTATACTTCTTTACTGACTTTGTTACACAATGACTGTAGGACCCTCCAAACAGTGGAACATATTTCTGAAAATTAGTAGATTTCCCTTACTCAGGTCTGAGAAGTTATTTATCATTGATCTTGTGGCCTGAGATAGCTTTACTGTGTCTTGGGACATCTATGTCTTAGGAGTTGGAGGTCTGGAGCTAGTGACTGCTGATGATGTCCCTGGTATTTTATAAGACATTGTACTGAAAAGTGTCATTCCTCTCACCCTCCTCTATAATTTTCTGGCCAGCCTGGAGCCATAGTACAGCCCATATTTTACTTTATATAGGGTACAATTTTTTTGGTTGCTAAACAAGAATTCATTGATGTGATCCTTACTCCTACCCCAGAAATGTGTGGGAAGCATACGGATGACAGAATAGTACCCCCATGTGATTCTAGTAAAACACAGAACTTCACTGAAAAATCAAGACTGTGATCTGACATATTTTCACTTGATCCATCCTAGAGACTTGTTAATAGGACTTCTCTGTTCATTTGCCTCAGTGAGTGTGGGCTCAGTTTTATTGGCCATGGATCCATAAAACCACTGTTTGCTCCAAACATGTACTATCTGAAGTTACAAAGTTAATAACTGACACAAAGGAGAACAACAGTCATTTGGTTCAAAGAAGCACTCATTCATTTGATTACGTAGTCCTAGCTTACTGGAGTCACAATAGTTGTGTAACCTGGTTTGCCTACATTTCTTCACATTCTTATATTTTAAAAAATATATTTATACTAGTAGTCTAAAATAAGATACATAGCAAGTTACCTAAAAGGGATTACTCAGAATTTCGCTACCTATGACAGAGCAGAGACAGTGTAGACTCGTGGATACATGTCCAAAATATAATTAAGTACAGTCACACTTGCTCCATTAGCCCATGAACTCAACATTTGTAGGATTGGGGCTTTGGTGTTTTTAGCTTTAATTAAATACTTAATGGAGATAATCATATTCATGTAGAAAAGAGCACAAATACTAAGTAGATTTTTAGAAAGAGAACAACTCATGCAATCAGCATCCACATCAAGAAAAAGAACATGCCAGAAGTCAGTTTTCATTTTTTTCCCTTAGTACTGCAGTTTGCACTCGGGGCCTCACACTTGCAGGCAAGTGTGCTACCATTTGAGCTGCCCCACCCCTTGTTTGCTTTAGTTATTTTTCTAATAGGGTCTCACAATTTTTTCTCAGGTCAGCCTGGACCTCAATCCTCCTACCTATGCATCCCTCATATCCAGGATTACAGACTCATGCCACTGCACCTGACTTGTTGGTTAAGGCAGGGTCTCAATAACTTTTTGTCAGGACTGGTTACAAACTGAGATCTTTCCAACCAGTTGGTATTATAGGTATGAACCACTATACCCAGTCCAGTTTTCAATTTAATTCTGCAAAATTTCCCATTAACTGATTACAGGTTAACTTAAAAAAAATTCCTTCAAACTTTGAAATGCTTTTCTGCCATTAAAATTTGCCAACACTTGCTGGGAATTCTTAGTTTTAAAGATTAGCCAAGTGAAAAAAAAGACAAGTTCAGTTCTGATACTTTTTTGATCAAAATGACCTTTTCAAGTACACCAAATCCAACAGTGACTGTTTTTTTGTCCCCTTAGCCACCCTGCTGTCCTTGAGAGTTCTCCCAGAGTTTAAGAAGAAAGCCGTGTGGACCAGAGCATATGGTTGGTGAACAGTTTTGCAGTAGCCAGCAGCATTCTCAGCAAGACAAGGCAAACCATAGAAATGAAAGTTTTTCAGAATTCCTGAAAATGGTGGGACACACTGATCCTTGCAATCAAGGGCATAAAAAGGTGGCCAGGAAACGGGTGCATTGCTTTGGTACCCACGTCAGCTGAGACTGAAACAGGAGCATGAGTTTTCTTTATTTGACTAGAGTTTAATATGAACACGTTCTCTGTTGAAAACCTCTCTACCCTGAATTCTAGTAAAATAATCTTGTGAATTTTGTGCATGTGATTTTTCTTTATTTTAAAGAATGTGGGAAGATTTTGCCAGCAAAAGCAAACTATAGTGGTGATAGTGATACTTTGATCTATTTTCCATGAAGTTGCTAAGAAAATAACTGACTCAGTGTTAGACAAATTTTATTCCTATTAATAAAACCCCCATGTAGAACTGCTTTGCACATTTAAACAATAGGCATAACACTGAATATTAGCTAAATCAGATTTATTGGTGATGGCTGTCATTTCTTTGTGCTTTTTTCTTGTTTGCAAATGAAAGTTATCAGAATAACATTAGTTAAAAAGGAGACTATTAGTTCACAAACTAGGAAATTTAAGAGTAGATCTGATGAATCCAATGAGGACATCAGACACTGTTCTTCAGGATCACTCCCCATAGTTAGAAAACTGGTTGTCAGCAACCTCAAAGGTAAGGAAAGGTGTCTTTGTCTATAGGTGTGGCAAAGGCGACATGGGAAGACTCTCGTCAGTCTGGGGCACATGGGAGTCTCTGAACAAGTTCCTGGGCCCTGGGAGGTGGGTTATACTCACTGACCAGGCCTGAGTCATACGTCCACTCCTTAGTCCCTGGACAGAGAGAAGCAGAGGTAAACCATCTAAACTGGGTTTCCCCAAAACAAAGATGAGATGTTGGACAGGCTAAAAGGATGACATATATCTCCTCTAAAGGTCAGTCTTTTTTCGTAAGTACAAATCTCTTAATCAAGGTGACTACTAGACTAAAGTAAACAAAGTTTCATGACAATACCTCAAGGGTTGCATTTGACGCATTTTGTTGAGACTCAGCCAGCATTTCAATATTGATGTTTACTAATTATCCTTCCTCTGCATAGCCATCAGTCAGGGCTCTGTTTAGCCAATCATAAAATGTACTGACCCATACAAATACGGGATCACTGGGAAGAAAAATTATACACTGAAATAATGTGCCTTGTTTCTGCCATGGCATAGCACAGCATCTGGGGCTTCAGAAGCCCCAAGGAACTTCTAGTGTTCCCATGGGGCTTGCACCATCAGCTGTACCTGCCACTTAGGTTAAAAATAACTTTAGCTTTATTTTCCAAATATGTCATTTCTTTAGAGGCTGGGCTAGAGGGAAATGAATTTGAACAAAGCAAGAAGGCAGAAAATTTACACCATTTTCTGTCCTATTCACATACACTTCCTACCTGTTAGAGTTTAAAATTCATCTAACATTTATTGTGAGGTGCCAGACTTTATGTACACTAGAGGCTTCAGTTGTATTAGCAGTGTTTTTCTATTTTAAAAGGGAGTAAACACATCTACTACGTTTCAGAGCTTCACCTAGAGCCCAGATCCTAGAATGTAAGATCCCAAATTATTTCTACTGCATCTGTTGGGGTACTTTAACTTGCAGCCCACCTAGGCTAGAAATCAGCTATAACTGGCATGACCCTTGGGTAACCTCGTGAAGAGGAAGATAGCCTTGAAACAGGGTTGTAAAACATGGTAAACTGTCAATTAAAAGCTGTAACCTCGGACAGAGCTGTGAGGAATTGCTCATTAGAGCCATGCAAAAGTTCAGGACCGAGATGAAAGGCACCATGCAGAGATAAGCACCCATTCCTGCCTTTCTTTGTCTCCACTTGTAAATAAACTTTCCAAAGCAGGACTCCCCTGCTGTTCTTATCTAAACCTTAGGTTTCTATTCCACTATTAGCCCCTAATTTATGGGAGAACACATTCCTTATAACCTGATAAGTAAGCCTCTGGTGTTTCTCCAGTTCCCAATAAATAATATTACCCCACCACCAAGACGTGGGCAAGATCAGGATGTGGGCAAGATCAGGAAAATGTGACCCCAGGGGCATGAGGAATTCCTATGTGACGATGATTGATGCTTTAAAGAGTATAAGACTGCTTAAACTTTTCTTTCGGGGTCCTTGTTGAAACCTGCTGTGTCAGGCGGATGCTCGGGCCCTAGCCGGCTAGAAATAAACCTCGCCGTGTGACCTCCTTTGTCTCGAGTGTCCTTTGTCCTCTCAGGAGGTGGCCGGCCTCGTACCCTAACAGCTGGAGGTCCCACCGAGATCGGCCCCCTCCCTGAGAGGAACAAACGGCCTCTGATACCGAGGTTTAATTGGGAAAGACCGCGGAAGGAGGATTGGCCACCTCCGTTTGGAGGGACTTAGAGTCCCCATCTGAATGTGGTTGAGAATTCTCATTGAGTGAAAGGAAGGGGTCACAGCCCTGGAAGCTTCACTATCGGTAGTCGTGGGAGACATCCCCGACAGTCAGGAATCGCGCTGGCGTCCTCAGTGGACGCCGTTTGGGCGGTCTTTGGGTAAGGATCCTAAATCTGGTGTGAATGGAAGTGCGCCTGTGAGAGTAGTCCGGTCGACCGGCTGGTACTTGTGTATGTTGGAGAGTCCTGTGCGAATTTGTTTGTCTGCTGGAATTGTCTCTTTTGTTCTTTGTTGTCTCCTTTGTCCATCTCTTCTGATCATCATGGGACAGGCCCAGATAACTCCTAAGTCCCTTCTTCTGAGTCATTTTTCAGAAATCCGCACTAAGGGACACAGTTATGGCATGAAAATTAAGAAAGGTAAGTTTGATGCCCTTTGCTCAGTGAAATGGCCAACCTTTAATGTAGGCTGGCCTCCTCAGGGTACCTTCTCCTTGGACACGATTAAGAAGGTCCACAATGTCATTAATAAACCTGGTCTTCGTGGCCACCCTGATCAATATCCCTACATCCTTATGTGACAGACCTTAATAGAGGACCCCCCTTCTTGGCTGCGGCCATTTGCCCATGAGACAGCTACAGACCAGCCCACAATACTGGCTGTGTTGGGGAACGCTCCCACTCCTGTTAATTCCCTTAAGAAGCCTATTCTGCAGGAAAACCCGACTTCCCATCCGTCCTTGATAAACTTAGATTCTGAGACAAGCCCACCGCTATATGCTGCTGCTGCACCACTCCGGCCAGAGGCAGCTGACCCCCTTGAACCTCCCCATTCATCAGCCTCCCCGTCTGCACCCCCGCCCCAGTCTCTGGACCGGTGAGGGGACTCAGGCCCCATAGACAGTGAGAAAAAAATTCCAGAGGAGGAGCCCTCCTCCACTTCCACCCCCCCCATCCTCCCAGTGCGGGCTCTGGGCAATGCTGGTCCCAATGGGGGATGCATCTATCAGTATTGGCCCTTTTCAGGTAGTGACCTGTACAACTCGAAAGCCCAGAATCCTCCTTTTTCTGAGGATCCTAGAGGCCTGACAGATCTGTTCAAGTCCATTTTACATACTCACAGTCCTACATGAGATGACTGTCAGCAGCTCCTTAAGACTCTATTCACCATTGAGGAACGGGAGCAGATTCTCACTGAAACCAGAAAGAATGTCCCCGGTGTCGACAGATGACCAACTACCCTGCCAAACCTGATTGATGACCATTTTCCCTTGAACAGACCCGATTGGGACTATGGGAACGCAGAAGGTAGGGAGCATCTCCAGGTCTATCACCAGACTCTTATGGCAGGCCTCCGGACGGCACCTTGCCGCCCTACCAATCTGGCTAAGGTAAGACGGTAGTACAGGGGAAAAATGAAAGCCCGGCCACATTCCTTGAGCGCCTTTACGAAACCCGGGGGAAAAGACTATAGGCCAGTCCAAGATTTAAGGAAAGTAAATAAGAGGGTCAAGGACATCCACCCCACAGTCCCCAACCCCTATACCTTGCTGAGCCATTTGCCCCCTTCCCATGTTTGGTATACCACTTTGGACTTGAAAGATGCTTTCTTTAGCATAGCCCTGACACCCAACAGTCAACACATTTTTGCCTTCAAATGGCATGATGAAAATACGGGAACCCCTGGACAGTTAACATAGACTAGACTCCCACAGGGTTTCAAAAACTCCCCTACTCTGTTCAATGAGGCTCTTAATCAGGATCAGGACTCATATCGCCAGAGCACAGTTCCGTCACACTTTTGCAGTATGTAGATGACTTGCCTCTGGCAGCTGCATCTGAAGCTGGATGTGGCAAGCCACTGGAGACCTCCTCCAGGAGCTGAGGAAATTGGGCTATCGGGCCAGTGCAAAGAAGGCCCAAATTTGTAGACAAACAGTAACCAACCTGGGGTATAAACTAAAAGGGGGAACCAGATGGTTAACGAATGCTATAAAAAATTAAAAAAAAAAAACTATTCTCAGACTCCCCGTCCCCACCTCAGCTCAAGAAGTTCATAAGTTCCTGGGGACAACGGGCTACTGCCAGCTGTGGATATTGGGGTATGCTAAACTGGCAAAACCCTTATATGAGACAACTGAAGGTAAGGCCCCATGGGCCTGGGGGCCAAATCAACAAAAGGCCTTTGAGGAGCTCAAGACCGCCCTCCTGAGAGCTCCAGCCCTGGCGCTGCCAGACCCTCTAAAGCCCTGCACCCTCCCAACATGACTGTCAAGAGATTATAGCTAAATCACCCAAGTGTGCCCGGATCTCCAGGACTCAGCCCTACCCAACAGTGAGCTGGTATGGTATACAGATGGGAGTAGCTTCATCTTGGATGGGGTGCGTAAGGTGGGGGCAACAGTGGTAGACCAAGGTAAAAACATAATTTGAAATGCCCCATTGCCCCCAGGGACCTCAACCCAGAAGGCCAAACATCGCACTGGCAGAGGCACTCGAGCGGGCTGAGGGAAAATGAGTGACTGTTTATACCGACAGCCGCTATGCTTTTGGCACCATCCATGTACATGGTGCCATCTACCGGGAAAGGGGTTTCATTACAGTGAAAGGAAAGGAGCTACGTAACCTCCTGGAGATCCAGAGATTACTGATTGCGGTGCAGAAGCCTCAGGCTGCGGCAATAGTAC